TAGAGACACTCCTCTCTCCTCCACTCTGATGACGTGCATCCAATACATGCAATGACTCCTCACTACGAAACTTTACTCTTATCTGCACACCATATTTCTTGAAATCCTACAATAGGAACAACAATGACATTTATTGAAAGAGCATATCCTCTGATTGTAGTATTGTACAGTACACTATACCCATTCACACAATATACATGTACATGTACATCTGGGCTTCCCAAAAATTACATGTATGCTAAGTGTCTGAACAGCATGTGACAAGCACTACAATAGTATACAAGTACATTGCTTTGGGCAGCTTTAAATTCATAAAAAATTCAGTTTTGGTCCAAATCATGCAGCTCAAACATCAATGTGTAGTAGGAAATTAAGAATTTTCCTAGTCATGATTTTTTTGGGAAAAGACACTATAGCACAGGCTGTACACAAATGCACATGTGTTTATACTGAATTTGAATTACAGTGTAAATATACCTCATTATATATAATATTATGCTGACACAGCAGTAGGCATATCATTTTTCACTTAAGACTAAAGTTATGCTACACTAGCATGATTCTTAACAATAAAAAACTTTGAATGTAGTACATTTGTCATTAATTCATTTTCTCAAGGTCTATCAATTAAGTGTCAATTAAGGTTGCTTTGAGATCACAATACGCAAACCATAAGTAGTAATTACATCACAGACACACTGCAATTTATTTTGCACACTAGCTAAAAGTTGACATCAGTACATTATTAGCAGTAGAGGTAACTGGTTTTATATGGCTCAGTTCACTTCAGCTCAAAACAATTTGGTAATTAAAACCACAAAATATATATGATGTACACAATCTTTTCGATATAATAATGAATAAAACCATAATTAAGAATCAATATCAATATTAAAATCAAATTCCAGTTCCTTTCTAACAGCTTCAATCCAGTCCTCAGCTAAAGCTATTGCTGCATCAGCATAACTGCCTCTTACAGCAATGAATGAGCTTAAGAACTTTTGACAGTGCTCCTCCACTTGAGGCAACTTCCTCTTAAAACTAAGGCTCGCCTTGAACTCAGTGATGAATGTGTCCATTGAGCGAGTTCCTTTCACTTCATCACTAATGAGACCAGCTGTATATAACTGACTAGCAAGATCTGATAGAGATGTCTTAAGAGAGGTAAGAGAAGCATGGTGAGACACTAGAACATCATTGATCACTTTCTTAACTCTCTTAACATCAACACTGGCTGGTACACCTAATAGAGGTCAAAGGTCAATATAACCCAATACACACAAACCATGCATACACACACACACACACACACACACACACACACACACACACACACACACACTGTTACTTACTAGCTCCTCCATTGGATGATACTGCAGTAACTTCAGTAATTGTATTAGATGAGGAGGAGGTACTAGGATCTGATTTATATTAAAATAAATAAACAATTAAAATGATTTATCTACTAGAAACAATGTAGAACATTCAAGGGCTCAGCCTCGTAGATTATTAGCCTTTAAAAAGCAGAATCTCAACCTTATGTTGCTGCTAGAAACCTGACTTGTTTTTTTTTCTTTAAGCCTTGCTACACTGACTTTAAAATAGCCATAAGATATAAAAAGGCTGGCCAGTTTAGTGCAGTCAGCGACAAAGGTGACATTTGTTTGATTTTCACAGTTTATCTCAACAAAAAGGAGTTTCATAGTTACTTAATTGCACCTGTAACCTTTTCAAGCAGTTGGAGAAGTCTTTGGACGGTGTTTTTGCCTTATCTTGTTGCTAGGAAGTAGGAAAATCATGACTTCTGATTCCCGTGTTGTGATCGCCATTTATTTTCTTTCGGCCACTCCCACTTTCAATGAAATATTGAAATTTAGAATCTATTGCACTGTAAGGCATGTGCGGATATATAGAGGAGATACGGAATACGTACGTGTACAGACATACATACATACAAACAAACTCTACTCATCTTAGTGGGCTTGGCCCAATTACTTGTTGTTCTCAGTGATCTATGAATATATAGTGTAATAGGACGAACCACACCTTCCAGTGGTATGGAGTAGTGCAGTGTAGGAACAGCATTAGGTGATCTGTTCACTGATAGCAAGCAACACGGAGGAATTGGATCACTAGCATTGCCAAATTTATCAATATCACATCGATGCAACTACATTGTATGTGTAAATGTACAGTTATTGATATTGACATTTGCTTCTTACTTCACATGGTTCAAAGTGTGATTGTATAGTCCAACCATTAAAAGGATACTTCTGTGGAGTATGATCAAGTTTCAACTCAATGTAATCTCTTGAAGGATGAAAGCTAAAGTATACATTTTGTCCTATTTCTGCTTGAGAGTGTCTCTGCTCAATATACTGTAATACAAAATCAATCAAATTCACACGTTAAGTGTACATGTTTCCTTACCTGAACAAGAGCATTCAAATCTTTAGATGCAGCAAAAGTCACGAGATCCTCTACACCTTTTTCCTCATAGTAAACCAGTCCAGCATATTTAGTAGCTTCTGATAATTGGGACTGTACACTAGTTGAATCATTGTTATGACTTTCTAATTGTTGATGGACATTTTGTTCTACAAGAATTACAACAAAAAATGAGGTGTTAAAGTAAACCAATAACAGAAGTCAAAACATAGGGTTAAATACTTACGGCCACTAGTTGATGAGTTGTTTGTTCCAGTTGCTTCTCTACTGGCTCCAGCTACTGATATAGGATCTGTGTGTATTAATTCAGTATATAATTATGTATTAATGTATACATTATTTACTCACCTGCTGAAGAGCTGGATCCTGATGGTAAACTCTCAGTAGTACCTCCTCCTCCTCCATTACACTCACCACAAGCACACACTAGACAGATTCTCTTCTACTAATACAACCATATGAACTATCACTCCTAAACTCTCCTCCCTCTATTAA